GTAATTCTCTAAGATGGCTTTTTTGAGACATTAGTTTACCATCTTCTGATTTGCTGGCTAATCAAAAGCTTCCTTTCTTGATCTCTAACTCATTGTGATTAATTGGTTCAGATAGTGGTGAGCAGAGCGAGCCCATTGCTCTGTAACAGGCTCAGATCAAGAACGGACTCAGCCACATGTCCAGCCTGCAGTGCAAGGAGCCCTGCCACTTTGGCCATATCACCTGACACAACTCATGAAACTGTGGTAGAAGAAAGACCATGTGGAGCCTCTTGCAAGTCCCAAAAGAAGAGTCACATTGCAGCCCTCAAGAATTCTGGAGCATGGCCACGCCAGCTGGGGGAGAGAACTATACACATTTGAAAGCATCTTCTGGCATGCTACTGAGCCCTGACAGAGCCTGAGCATCTGACCATGGGGCATGAAGAGACCATGCAACCCAAACTGCCCATCATGAATTGTATAATATCAGACCCGCCAGCTCATAAGTGTGTGTGGGCCTAGCAGCAATCTTTTAAAATGGAAGTAGTACATTGAGATTGAGTTTGAGCAGGCCTAGCGAACACACATGAGCTGCATGAACAGATGGCCAAGATCTCCATTTCTCCTACCACTATTGTACAAACACCTCTTGCTTAGCCCATGGAGAGTTTCCTTGACCAGATGATAGAGGAGGAGAAGCCTAAGCTTTGCTGAAGATTGATATATTTGGTCTGTGGATGCAAGAGGAAAATGGACTGCTACGTCACTGCAGACCTCCTCAGAGTGAGACTTATGCTCCCAACGGGCCGAGTTTAGGCCAGTGCTCCTGGTCCTCCATTTTGTTTGGGAGAGAACTGGCTCAAGAGAAGGATGTACATGGACACTGGCAGGGGCAAAGGGCTTAGCTGGCTAGTCAGAGGCCTGGAAGGAGCAAGTTTGGAAGATTGGAGACAGAAAGATCTGGGGTGGGAACCTAAGGGAGTGAGCACAAATTGTGAGGATCTTTGTATCATATGCTAATAATCCTCAAAGAGCATTCAACACAGCTGGGCAGAAGAGTTAGGAATAAATGCATCAGTGTCAGAGAGATCTGTATTCAAACCCCCGACTCTGCCATCCACTCACTGTGAGATCGTGGGCAAGTTGCTGAACCATCCTAAGTCTCACATCCTCACCCATCAGAAGGATGTTTCGAGAATTAAATGACATGCATGAGGGGCTTACATGGTACCTGGCACACTCTGAGTGCTCAATAAATGGCAGGTGGTCGTTATTGTTATTTCATTTAATATGTTCAACAGTCCTAAGAGATAAGCACTAATTAGCCAAATTTATCAGACAAGAAACTGAGGCCCAGGGAAATTAAGTGACTTAACCAGATTTTCAGTTTGTCAAGTATCAGAAACGGGATTCAAATGAAGATTTGTTTGGCTTCCATGCCCATGTGTGGCTTCAACACCCTGTCTCAGAGGAACGGCCCTAGAAGTGAGAGACAAGACATGGGCTTGCTACAGGGTGAATTCTCTCTTTCCTTTACAACAATTCTGAAAGGAAAGATTATTCTCTGGATTTTACGGATGAGGGATCTTGAGGATCAGAGGGATTGCAATACCTGACTAAGGCCACATAACTAGTAAATGGAGGAAGCTGGGATTTGAGCTACTTTTTCTGTATAACTTAAATATTCTTTTACCCGGGGCAGGGTTGGTGATGCGATTCATTTTAGGGAAATTCTACGGGGAGAATCTCAGAAAATTATTATTCCATCAGGGCTAGGAGCTCAAGGACAGTTTTAGGCTAGTGGACCTTTATCCGAGTGCAAAGGACCTTCTTTACCAAGAGTCAGTAAGTTATTAATAGGGTTATTGCCTAAAGTAGGACATAAGCACCTTCTAAACAATTTGAGCTCTTTGCTTCCTTGCTATTTACTTAACTTGTAAAGTTTATGATCACAGTTGCCTATGATCCAACTATGTTATAAATTCATGTATTTTATTATTATTCACGTAGTGGTTTGAGCACACAGGACAGATGTGGTCAGTGTGGGAAGTTCCGGTAGATACACACTACAGGAAATGTTCAGAAGATCAGTTGTGCAGTGTGGGGGTCCACTTTTTGGAGGGGGAGCCCCCTAATCTCAGGGATGACCTTAGCATAAATTTACCTAAATTGCAGCAAGATGGTCTGGGCCCATGTTTTGTCACACCCTCAGTGGGACCAGCCAGAGTGCTTTAATGCCATACTCCTTCGGTTTGTCCTAGAGTCTTTTTCCTTGTACACTCTGTGATATTGTGATATAATAAGGAATATATATTTGATCTTCAACTTGGTTCCTAGCATGGAGCTTCTAAAATCCTTGTGTTTTGTTGTGTGATGGAGGCTAGAATGGCCTTTTGTTATTCATAACAAGCCTCTAAAACCTGAGTTTATGCTAATAAGTTAACTTTTGGATAATGTGGGCTGGTTGCCAGAGGAACCAACCATATGATTAGAGGGTGGGAATGTTCAACCTCACCCCCAGACCTCCTGGGAAGGGACCAGGGCTGGAGGTTGAGTTAATTACCAACGGCTGATGATTCAATCAATCATGCCTATACAGCATAATGAAATCTCCATAAAAACTCCTAAACATCGGGATTCTGAGAACTTCTGGGTTGGTGAGCACACGTCGAGGTGCTTGGGAGGGTAGCATGCTCGGAGCTGGCATGGAAGCTCTATGATTACTGCCCCCAATACCTTGCCCTGTACATCTCTTCCACTTGGAAGTTCCTGAGTTGTATCCTTTATAATAAGCCAGTAAGAATATGTAAAGTGTTTTCCTGAGTTCTGAGCTGTCTAGCAAACTAAAACCCAAGCATAGGGTTTGTGGGAACCCCCAAATTACAGGTGATTGATCAGAAGTACTGGAGGCTCCAGCTTGCGATTGGAGCTGAAGTGGGGGGTAGTCTTGTGGGACTGAGCCCTTAACCTGTGGGGTCTGCATTAATGCCAAGTAGTTAGCGTCAGAATTGCATTACATCGTAGGATACCTGTTACCGCCTACAAACATAGGTTCTTTACCCGCTACACAAGAGGGGCCAAATAAAAACTGGAACGCCGGCCTTATGGCAAGGAAAGGGTTTTTATTTCTGATGATATCAGCCGGGAGACGAGAATGAGCCCTCAGATTTGTCTTGTCTCTTCTTATGTCCCCGAAAGAGGGGAGGAGAGGGGGAGAGGGGTTTTAAAGGTTTGTGAGGAATGTGATTGCTTGTAGAGAGGCAGTGAGGAGTCAGAGGCCTTGCTGGTCGGAGCTTTCCCACCAGCCTGCATTAGGCCTTGGGACACTGTTTGCAGGGAGGAGGAGGAGATGATAAGGAACCCAGGTGGGCGAACTTGGTGGTTTGTCTCCAAGGCATATTGTGGATTCCGGAGCCAGGGAGTAAGCAGGGAAAAGAGTGCTTTGGTTTTAACCCCACATATGCTGGGTTTAATGTAGGGGAACTGATATTAGGGCTGGCATCACACCCAGTTGTTGTCCTCAGAGAATCTGAAAACTGCTTGGTGTGGAAAACCCAATCATGTGGGTATTGGAAGTATTTGGGGTAAAAAAGAGCTAATACCCTCAGGACTCCAGAGTTTTGATCCTTTCCTTCAGGTCCCACCACTCCACCTCTAAGAAAGGCCCCAGACTAGAAGGTGATATAGAGAAGAAACTGGGGTGATTCATTGAAGTCAGTTAACCTTTATTCAACACCTGCTGTATTCAAAAGTGTAGATTATCTTCCTCCATTCTTGTGGTCTGTTCTAGGAGTTACAGAGATGCAAAGATAAACTATTACACAATCCCTGCTTTCAAAACATCTTCAGGAGCTTCAGGTTTTCCCCTTTGACGTCAAGAAACCAAAAAACTTGTAGGAGTGGGGGGAAAAAAGAATTCAGAGATCTTTTATCCTAGCAATCTTATTTTAAAGATAAAAATGAGGTCTAGGGTTCACAGAGATAATTGGCAGACTTGGCTTTTGTATTAGTGTTTCCGTCTGCTGTTTATCTTCATTTTCGAACACAATTTTAGCACATCTTAAATATTTCAATATTTCTGAACAAAATCGGCGAGGTTATGAAACTGATTTAGAAGAGGAGCACAGGAACTTTCGATTCACGGACAATTTAGCTATATTGAAGCTATGCATCCATAGATGTTCATTATTATTACACCATAAATTTTGGGAGGACAGGAAGCTTGTACATAAAAAAAATTCACCACCGCCCCTCCCCCGGTGCCTTGTTGAATAAACGAATAAAACACATAAACATACGTGAATGACTGATGAATGGCTGTGTGTGTGATGTACAATTTTTGCACTGTTTATTATTTTTAAGATTTTTAATTGGTGAGTCTTTGTTGAAGGCCAGCAGGAGGAAGGCATTGAGTGGGAAACGAAAAGAGGTTGGAAGCACAGTCCGCACCCTTTATGGGGCCCAGAGTCCACTAGGTTAGGGGACAGACACACCACGTGAAAGCGATGAGTACCTTTTCCGAGGGGTATGGTGAAAATGCTGCGGGTGCTCAGACAGGGAAAGTTTTCCTAGGATTGGGGAAATGCTGAGCCTGCTAGGAAGAGCTTGGCGCTGCTCATCAGGAACCTGAGTTCTAGAACCGGTTCCACTACTGATTTGTCCCGTGACTTCGGGTTAGTAAATTAGGCTTGTAAATTAAACTCCCCAGATTTGTTTCCCACTCTGAAACTCCAGGCGTTGGACAGACTATTAGGTTCCCTGGGGCAATGCCCTGAGTGATCTCCTATTTCTATTGCTTCTCGCCCCTACGCCCCGTCGCCCCCTCGCTCTCTCGGTCCCTCCTCTCCCAGAGACTAGACGAGGAAACGAGCGTGGCTCCTTTAAGGGAGCCCTCGAGGACAGGCGCCCGGGTGCCCCCCGCAGGGGACAGCGGAGCAGGGCGGGGCGCCGGGGACCCGGGCTTCCCACGCAGCCGGGGACGCCGCCGCGTCACGGCGCTCGCAGCCAATCAGGACGGCGCCTGCCTGGACGCATTACTAGGGCGACGGGCCGGACGCCTCCCCGCTCCGGGATGAATTAGCGGCGGGTTCTGCCCGGAGGTTGTGACCCCCAAGGATTCTCCAGGCCGCCCACGCGCCCCAGCGGCGTCGCGTGTGGTCCCCTGCTGGTCACAGGTGGGAGGCTGGAAGTGTCAGGTGGGGGTTCCGGCGCGGGGAAAATGGCGGCGGCGGCCGGGGGATCCCCGAGTGGGCGGAGGGGGAGAGGCCGCACGGGCTCTTCCCCCTGAGTCGCGGGCCTCCCCGGGCTGCGGCCCCGGTAACGGTCACTTGACCGGGAATTGGGGACCCGACGCAGGTGGCCGCGTCTCCGGCTCAGGTGTGAGCAGGACCTGGGGAAGCGAATCCTGGAGGCTGGTGGAGGCGTCGGGGCCGCGCGGGCCGGGCGAGGGCGAGGTGGCCGCCGCGTCCCGGGGGCCAGGCCTCCCGTCGATGTTAAAGATGAGCCTGAAGACCTTCCTGCTCCGGACCTGGGCTGGCCTGGGAGCTGCACCACCCCAGCACCGTCCGAGCTCTGCCGCGGTTAAATCCGATTTGTCAAACGTCCCACGTGCGAGGTTTGGACGTGTGGTGTCAGGGCAGCGGCTGGCGCTGCTTTATCTGTGCATCCTCTAGGCGTCAGACGCCTGCTTATCGGCGCTGGAGTGGCAGTGCCACGAGAGGAAAATTAGGCCCTAGCCAGGGACTGAGGTATCTTATCTCTGAAATGGGCATAGCATTTCCAGTCCAAACAACCTCATTGTACTGTTGTGAGAAAAAAAAAAAAAGACAATATATGTGAAAGGGCTTAAAAAAGTTAAAATCGCAGTGATAACAGTTGACATTTATTACTGTGCATTTGAACTACCAGGCATTGATCTAAGGACCTTGTATGTGCTAACATGGTCACTCAGCATCATTGTGAAGATAATCTTTGTTTTACAGAGGAGGAAGCTGAGGCACATGGAAGTTTATTTGCCCCACATCGGACAACTAGCATTGTGATTCCAGCTGTGTTCTTAACCACCATGCGTACCATCCTCCTGTATCATACAGATGTGTTATGTGTTAAGGGGATATTTGTGAACAAGTTTTTCAACAAAGTAATTTTGTTTGTGGGTTTTAGTTGTAATGTATAAATAATAACCATAATTCATTCCACTGGCATCTGATTTATATTGTGATGACTACAGTTACTTTGGTTAAATGGTATATCTATCCTACCTTTGCTGCCCATTTTTTAAAAAAAGTGTTTTAAAACAAAAAGTTGTGACTAATTTTTAACAGGAAGTGCAATTAAATAAGGAAGATTTTAGTTTTTATTAAACTTTAAATTTGTTGAATGCCTTTTAAAAAGAAAACTTGTGTTAGGTTCATTGCTTTGACATATTTGTACTAATTTTTCTAGTCTCTATTTATAGAAAAAAATGATAGGAATAAAAGTGGCTGGGTCATTCATTCTTTTGTTGAGCCTTTGTGGAATTGCCCTGCAATGTACCTGCATTCTAAAGATTAATTCCTGACCTTAGTCTTGAGGAGTCCAGGGAGAAGCCCCAGGTCCAGAAGTTTGTAGACTAGTGAACGAGACAAACAAATAAATGATTAACTCACGCAGTGTGATAAGGACTCAAATATAGTTGTGCTGAGTACAGAGAGCTGTGGGAACACATACAAGGGAACAGTTGCTTCTGCTGGGGTAGCCGTGGTCCAGAGAGGAAGGGAACTGACTGCAGGATTACCAGAGAAAGGGCCTGTAGCCAAAGGAGGAAACAGTGCAAAGTCAGGACAGGTGAGAGTGCGTGGGTGTCCAGGGGTCAGAGCAGAGGATTTGTAGGAGTTGCTGAGAGAGAAGCCAGGAAAAGTTGGTGCTGGATTGTGAATTCTCAGCTAGGAGAGTGACTTTATCCTGTGGGACCTGTAGAAGGATCTTAATCATAGGAGTACCATGATCAACTTTATGTTCTGGAGAGGTGACTTTGGTGACAGAGTGAAAGAGAGAATGTAAGAGGAAGACCAGTTAAGGACAGTCTCCATACTCCAGATGAGAGGTGGTGAGTGAACCAGAACTTCGGCTGTGGCAGAGCAGAATTCATAGTTCACTGCATAAATTTTGAAGGCAGAATGGAAGATTGACTGGGTGTGAAGAAGAATAGTATGGGGGTGGGAAACACCTGATGAGTGAGTAAAGGAAAGAGTAAGGTGGTTTTTTTTTTGTTTTGGTTTTTTGGTAATGATATGGTTGGAGATTGGAGATATTAACTAATTTAGGAAAAAGGATAGAGCAGGGAATTCTTTGTTACTGGGTTTTGGGAGAGTTGTAAACCCTCTGAATTTGTTGGGTCAAATAAGTTGTAATGAAACCAGGCTTATAACTTCCTCTAGGCCTCTGATTTCTGATACTACAAAAAACTTAATTATATCATCAAAAGTCTAGAGGGTCTAGTGTAAAGGTTGCTCCATTGGAGGAAAGCTACACAAAGGGAGTGGGAAGAATAAGGTATGTTTGGGGCAATATGCTAGAATAATGGTATTAGAGTTTTTTTCTTTCTTTTTCAGTAAGTTTTTAATATATTTGTATTGAAGTCGTTATAATTGGGAAGTAATCACAAATGAATTCTCTAGTTTTAAAACTGATCTCCACTCAAACATTCATAATACTAGAGTTGTTTAGCACCCAACAACGTAACATGAATGCATTCCAAATTGACTGTAGAAACCTTGCAAAGATGCAGGATTTCATGAATTCAGAGCAAGGTCAAGAATTGCTCAAACCATAAGCTCAAATCAAAGAATTAGTGAGTAGAGTAGGTATAGATTTCTGAAAAAGGACTCTCAGAGTAATTGACTGTAGAAATGATTGATAAATTTGACTTCAGACTTCACTAATATTGAGAACTTCCCTCCATCTAAAGATACCGTTAAGAGAAGAGCACAATACAGACTGGAAGAAGAAATTTGCAACTCATATATCTGACAAAGGACTCAACCTAAATATGTGTATGTGTGTGTACAATAAGAAAAAGACAATTTAATTAAAAAATGTACAGAAGTCTGGAACAGGCACTTTCTAATAGAGGGTCTCTGAATGGTCAGTATGCATATAAAAAGGCGCTCAATGTTACTAGTCAATAGGGAAATGCCAATTAAAACAATAATGAGACACTACACACTTTCCAGAATAGCTAAAATTAAAAAGATTGTCAGTGCCAGTATTGGCAAGGATGTAGAGCAACTAAGTCTCCTTTATGTTGTTGGTAGGAATGTAAAATGGGACAGTCATTTTGGAAAACTGTGGCATGGGTAGGTCTAATCCTACCCATGATCCAGCAATTCCATCCTAAGTATATAGGCAAGAGAAACAAATGTATGTGTCTACCAAAAAAAAAAAAAAAAAAAGTAACAGAATGTTCATAGCACCTTTATTCATAATAACCAAAAATTAAACAAAACCCAAATGGATATTGGCAGTAGAATGGATGAATAAATTGTTGTATAGTTTTAAAGTGAAACAAAAAAGCAATAAAAGAGAGTGAGTTACTGATCCAGACATCAACGTGGATGGATCTCATAGACATAATGAGCCAGACAAAAGGTTGCATGCTATATGATTGCATTTAAATGAAGTTCAAAAACAGGTACAACTGTTTCTGGTTATAGCAGTTAGCATGGTGGTTCCTGGTGGTTAATGATTGGAAGGGGCATGAGGGAACCTTCTGGGATGTTGGAAATGTTCTATATCTTGAGATGAGTGGTGGTTACATGGGAGTATGTATATGTAAGAATTCAAGTTGCACATCTAAGATTTGTGCAGTTTACTGTTGTACCTTAATTTAGAAAATTTGGCAATATTAGACCAGTTAACTTTTGATGAGGAAAACCAGGAGGGGTGATGATGAGAGAGGTACTTTAAAAGAATTTAAAAGCAGTATGAAATCTAGAGTTTTTGTTGTTGCAAAAATGAGTTTTATATAATTGTCTTGTAAAAGGCAAATGTGAAATCAAGGCTGTTATATGCTGTTTCACAGTTTGGTCACAAAATTATGTCTCAAACCCTTTACCAATTGATGAATTCCTTCTCCTAAGAATTAGTGCATAGTTGCAAGTGTAACCTAAATTTTGGGAAATATAAGATACATTATGAAAATAAGTTGATTTATATTTTGTTTCATTTTTTTGGAAAATTCTGGTCAAATGTCTTTTTTATCATTATGAAATATAGCCCCTGTTTAAGAGAAATCACTGTGTGGCCTTTTTTTCTACTGTGCTGATTGCTCTTGGATAATGAGTACTAGCCATGATTCCTTTGGCTTCAAGGTTCTGAATGTAACACTGGAGCTAAGAAAAGCCTTTGGTGAGTTTCCTATACCCCTGGGTAAGGCTGGAAAAAGGCTTTTGTGACCTTCAGTTTGATTTGACAGCAAGTGTTCATCACACCTCTACCTAGTCCTCTCCCTCTGGCAGTAGGGCCATGGAGATCCTGCTGTGACAACCCCGGGAGGCAGATGGAAGGGCTGGCTGAGGGGCAGCCATCAGTGAAAGCTGCCTGGAGATGGTTAACCACTTGACCAGCAGTCTTTCACAATTGAAGCTTCTGAAAACTTAAATTGTTCACTTCCTCACAGGAAGTAGATTACTGTTCTAGGGACGATACAGGGAAGATTTACGCTACCCTTAGTTTTCCATCTCAAATAGGAAGAGGTGACCTCCCTTTTATGTTTGTAAATATATGGTTTTATTCCCTTGGGACAACCTCGTGGAACAGGGAGCTAGCATGTTGGTGAGCTGGTGTCTAGTGGTGTCACAGAGCAAATGATGGATAAAAGGTGGGAATAAGAGCATGATGAGGGAAGAGAAATGAGTGGTGGCAGCCATTCTTAATGGCTCTGTGGCTAGGAGTGTGGAGTGAAAGTATTGTTTACCCTGGCCTGGCAGTGACTCTCCCAACCAGAATGTTTAGGTATCTTGGGGGAAGGCAGCTTTGTCTGTGGCTCTTACTGTTTCTGCTCTCCTGTTGTTGTAATGCAAATACTTTCTTAGAATTATTTTTTCTTTATATTGTGTAGATTTAATAAAATTTGCCTATGTGGGGTTGGGGAGGAAAATTATGGTAACCAGGAGTGGCTTGAACACCAAAATGTTTGTTTATTTAACTTGAACAT